AGAATTTTAAGTTTTAGAAGACTGATGTATATTTTTTCATGTATTAAATATATTGGTTTTTCATGTACAAAAGTCTTTAATGGGTAGAATTGTGCAAAATGATAGATAAGTTGGTAGATGTCAACCTAGTTGGGATGTACTCATTCTATTGTGATGTAATTTCTCTTATATTCATAAATAAAATTATTCATTATTTAATTTTTGTCCATTTTGATTTTGACTGTACTTTTAATTCAAAAATATAATTTACAAAAAAATTAAATGAAGTTGTATATTTTTTTAATAGGGCAAAACAAGCCCGCCCAATAGGCCCAACAAAAGTCTGCCCAAACAGGCCCGCAAAACCCGCCCAGAAAACCTATTAGCAAAGCTCGCCCAATAGGTGACGGGCTTGGCTGCGGGTAGCTTACCCCTACCCGAAGTCTGGCCCAGCCCGCTACTCGCCCGAGTACGGGTTTGGACTTACATTACCCAAGCCCGGCCCAAAAAAAAATTCGTTGGCCGGGCCGGATAGCCCTAGCTACCTTAGTGTATCATAATCCAAGTCCTTGGAATAGTCAGCCCTTTTTTTANCCGCCTGCTCCCCCACAACAGCAACAACAACAGCAGCCCCGACAACAGCAACAACAACAGCAGCAGCAACAGCAGCAGACTACTCCTTCCCTCCCATCCTCAGCGNACATTACCCAAGCCCGGCCCAAAAAAAAATTCGTTGGCCGGGCCGGATAGCCCTAGCTACCTTAGTGTATCATAATCCAAGTCCTTGGAATAGTCAGCCCTTTTTTTACATTGATCAAGATGGGTCAATATAGTAGGTTGAAGTCTTAGAGTAAATTCCCTTTTTTTCAACAGAGTAATACTGCATTAAAGGCTTCCTCGGTACATGTGTCCATGAATCCATGTTATTTCTCTTTGAAGCATTTGAAGGTATATATATAGAAGACATGCATGCATACAATCCTATTTCTCATTCTACTATTTTTAATTCTTACACAATACTAGAGTATGTGGAAAGTGCTAGCAGGTGTTTGTCTCCAAGGATCAAGAGGGAGAAGGAATGTTGTCAATTGTTCTGATGAAAGCTTCTCTTCTTGAATCACAAAGCTTTATTTATATATGCCATGTAAGACTCACATTGCTAATTGTGCAAGCGGACTAATATAGTTTTTCAATCTCTTGTTAAAGCTGAAAGTATTCGACCGCCTTTTGGGAAAACCTCAAGTTATGTTAGCTATTAGGAGAATGATATCAATTATGTGCCTTACTTCGCCAATATTAGTTTGTCGTAGTTACTTTCAGTCTGTAAATATTAATCTGATTTCTCTTTGTAATATAAAATTTCTATCTCTCAAAAGGTTGAAGAGAAATATTTATGATATTGTCATGTGCTATGTTGTTAGTTATCTCCATTTTTAAAATTACAAGGGAAATTATTTTCTTGATATCTTAGCAAATTATTGATCAAGAAAACAAGAATAAATTTTCAATAGACTACACCAAAACTACAATTTAAAAATAATTTATGTGTAACGCATGTGTACAACTACTAGTATATAATAAAATACAATACAATTCAAATTTCTAAAGATAAACAAAATGAGTTGTTTTTTACGATTGAGATCTATTTAAATTTTATTTTCAAGTTAATCCAACGGCTAATATTAACACCTTAAATTTAATAAGAAAAATAGACCATTAAAAGTGTGTTTGAAATAATTTTTTAAAAGTGCTTTTAGAACTTGTAACTTCTCATAAGTATTTTTTAAAAAAAAAATAGTATTTGAAATTGTCCCACCACCATCACCATTACCACCACCACCGTCAACCCACCACCACCGTCAACTCACCACCACCATCACTACTGTCGCTGCCACCACACCATCATCTCTGACACAACAACCACTACCACCATTGTTGCCACCCACCACCACCATCATCACTGCTGCCTCCATCCTACCACTATCACCACCCATACCGCCCCACCACCACCACAACTATCACCCCACTACCTCCTCTTCCACAACAACCACCACCATTGTCTCCACCCCACTATTGCCCCACCATTGCCCGACTACCACCACCCCCATCACCACCACCACCACCGCTGCTGTTAACTTACTACCACCGTCACTATCCCACCATCATCTCTACTATCACCACCCCCCCACCACTATTATCATCATTGTCACCCACGGTTGCCACCATTACAACAGGTTGTTGTCACCCACCACAACCATTACCGTCTCTCACCACCAACACTCACCCCCATTATAACCAGTGTTTAAATTTCTTTCTCTCTTTTTTCTATTTTTGTAATTTAATTTTGAGTGTGAATACAAATATGCTTATCATTTTTTTTATTATTCCAAACCTTTAGACACGGAAAATGACTAATATATATATAACATTAAAAACAAAAAAGAGTAACATTTAAACACAAAATATAGTACCACTCAAACAAAAAAAAATACTAACATTCAANATCATTTTTTTTATTATTCCAAACCTTTAGACACGGAAAATGACTAATATATATATATAACATTAAAAACAAAAAAAAATACTAACATTCAAAAAAAATAGTAATATTAAATATTAATATTTGAAAAAAAATAATAACAGTAACATGGTCAATAAAAAAAATAATATTGAATATTTGATATTTCAAAAAAATAATAACATGAAAAACAAAAAGTATCATGCGTAATAACATTCAATATTAAATTAACCATAGACTTCTCAGTAAAAAAGAATGTGAGAAAGAGAGAGAGAAATAGTAGTGATCTCAAATTTAAATTTGAATTTTAGATTTTATGAAAAAAAATCTTTCATTAAGTTTGAATCAAAGATGATTGTTTAGAAAATTGATTTAATGTTGAAGAATGATTTTAAAGACAATAGAAGGGCATTTTGGAGTTTTAAAAACATAGTGAACTTAACTAATTATTAGTAAGATTAAAATCGAATTTATCTCTAAATAAATTTTCTTGGGAGACTAAACTCATTATAAGTTCCTTAAAGAAGACTCAACCCCAACTTTCATAAAAATGTTAATCTTTTTTTATATACATTTTAGTAAAAGTAAGTTTTATATAAGTTAGGAAATTTTTTCGTAAATATTTGCAAACTACATAAACGTTTTATATTTTCGGACATACTTCTTTTTTTTTTTTTTACAATTTACTTAGAAGATAACTTTTAAATCACTTGTTTAGCATTACTTTTAAGGGTGTGGTTATTCTCACCCCTTAAATTTCCTTTCTTACCTTATTTAATCCCCTTACTTCAAACTATCAAGTTCACCTCATTTACACTCACCTCATAAATTAATAAACTTACTTCTTTTATATTCATTAATTAAACATTAAATTTATTCAATTTTATTTTATCCTACTAGTTAGGCAACGATCAAAATTTCGTTTTAATATATTTTGTCGGTACAAAAATATTTCAAAAATAGAATAAAAATAAATTAAACTAATATACCAAACTATCTTAAAACACCTCAAAATATTTCGAAGATATTGAAAAAAAAAGTCTAAATATCTCAAAACACCTCGAATATTCTAGATCACCTCATAACATTAAAATTTTGATTTAATTAACAATTTTTTTCAATTTAAAATATATATTTAATAGTTTAATTTTATATGTATTAATGGAGTCAACTTAGTCATTAATAATGTGAATATAAATGAAATGAATTTAGTAGTTTGAAATAAGATGACTAATGAGGTAAAAAAGAAGATTTAAAGGGTGAGAATAACCCACCCTAATTTTAAATTATACGATTCAAACAGTTTCTTCAAGATTTAAGTTAACAGCTTATACAATTTCTATGTAATCCAAGCAAATGGCACCCTACAGTTGGCACACAAGGACCTCCAAAGCCAACTATTAAAGGGATTCTATATTGAAAATCCGTTAGTCATTCTGTCACATAAGCTTCTATTCTCAATTCATTGTCTTTAATGGTCCACTCCTCTCTCTCTCTCTTTCTCACCCTCTTCATGATTTCCCTTTCATTAGCCGTGAAACACTTGAAAGACCTAAAAAAAGGCTCGAGGTCCAAACCCAAAGCAGCTGCTAGGGCTATGGAAGCAACCACCCTTTGGCAATTTACACCAGGTGATTGGTTACCTAATTATCACAACATGCTTTGAGAGACATGGCGAAGAATTTCAAATATTTAAACTCTTGCCTAGTTATTCAGTTTAACTTTACCTGAATTATAATTTTTAAGATACTTTTGATCTTAATATAATCATGCGCATGGTGTGTTTGTTTTGTAAGTTCTTATCGATCTTAAATGTATCTACTAAAATATATGAATTTAAATATTTGAAATTAAAAATAAAAATTACTAAATTATTCATCTAAAAATAATTTAGAACCCCGTCTCAAATTTTTGTCTAGGACCTTCTCATGTATACTTGTGCCGGCCGTGGGAGAACTCTGTTGGGAGTGAGGTGGGTTGAGGTCAGCTGTGTCCATAATTTTGTTGAAAAGAAAGAGTACTAAGTCGTCTCCAAACAAACTCAGCCGAAAACTACTATGACAACAGAGATTATTTTTAGCGGCCGGTTGCAATTTAGAAAATCACATGGAGGTGAAAAACCAAAAATTTGCCCAACAGTTACGAGAGAAATGCTATGTAAAAGCATCTTGAATCTTGGACTACTCTCAATTCAACATGCTCTTTGCCGAACAACATTGCTATAAAATAGTGTCTGAACCTCATAGAAGGAGAACCATACCTAGCTTTAGTCTCTTACCTTTCCCAAATGGAGCTTCAACTACCCTCCTTTCCTCTGCTTTGTGCTTTCTTGCTCTTTCTCCTTGTGGTTGTGAAGCATAGGAAGAGATCTAACACCCAAGGCCCCTAATTGAAATTGCCACCAGGGCCCAAAAAGCTACCACTAATCGGTAACTTGCACCAGTTAATTGGGCCATTATCTCACCACACCTTAAGAGACTTGGCCAAGATACATGGGCCAGTTATGCACCTACAACTCGGAGAGGTTGCTGCTGTTGTCATTTCCTCGCCAGAGGCAGCCAAAGAGGTGATGAAAACCCATGACCTTATCTTCGCAAGCAGGCCAGAAATACTTGCATTCAAAATCTTCTCATACAATTTTACGAATATGGCCTTTGCTCCCTATGGTAATTACTGGAGACAACTGCAAAAAATTTGCATATTGGAGCTCTTAAGTGCAAAACGTATCCAATCATATGAATCAATAAGAGAGGAGGAGGTATGGAATCTCATTGAATCAATATCATCATCCCAAGGACTTCCCATCAATCTCAGTAGGAAGATCTTCTCATTGACCAATACCATAACTTCCACGGCAGCATTTGGTATTAAGTGCAAAGATCAAGATGAATTCATTACAACAATTCAGGAGGCAGTTAAGCTGTCTGGAGGTTTTGATCTCCCTGATGTATCCCCTTCACTCAAGTTTCTTCATTCGATCAATCGAGTGAAGCCTGCACTGGAGAAAATGCACCAAAAAATAGACAAGATTCTTGACAATATCATCGACGATCACACATCAAGGAAAGCCATGATTATCAGCAGTGATAAATCAAGGAAGGAAGATCTACTTGATGTGCTTCTGAACCGACAACCTCAAATCTGTCAAGCAAGGAAAGCCTTGAGTTTCCTTTCACAACCGACAACCTCAAATCTTTCATTCTGGTATGTCTAGAAAACATATTCAACATTTTGCAGCAGTTAGAAGAAAACAGTGACACATTCGGCTCACATAAAATGAAACCCAAGAAATTGTTTTAAAAAAACAGCTAAAAATACTTCACAGGGTGAATTTGTTCTGCCAAAAACAAATATTGAGTGAATAATTCAACACGTATTCATTCTTCCGAAACCAAAAAACCTGACATATTTATCTCAATATTGACCTTGCTCTGGCTCGGATGTAATAAAACGATTTGGACAAGAAGCCGAAGTATAGGAAACTATTAAACACGTTTGTTGATATTAATCAGGCAGTTTTTCTTACTGAGAAACAGAATATTATTAATCAGGCTCTGTTTAAATTCAAGTTTCCACAGGAGAGAGGAAAAAAAAAAGTATCAGGATCCCAGCAAGGGAGATCCCTTGAGATATAATTCCAGTTTAAGAAAATCAAGCTATCGTCATATTTTTGTAGTAACTAAGGTGTGATCTCAATGATTCTCATGCAGGCAAGGATCGAAATTTCGTTTCGAAGTACCGTTTCGGTCATCTAAATTTCCGAAACGTTTCGGAAATGCAATAGAAACGCGAAAAAAATATGGAAACGCATGGAAACACAAATACAATCCATTAATCTATAGATATAGGATGTTGAATTCATTAATCTATACAATCCATTAATCTATTAATCCATTAATCCATTAATCTATACAATCCATTAATCCATACAATCCATTAATCCATTAATCTATACAATCCATTAATCTATACACAAATATGTTGAATTCTTCTATAAAGATGTTAAGTNGTTAATTGGGCCATTATCTCACCACACCTTAAGAGACTTGGCCAAGATACATGGGCCAGTTATGCACCTACAACTCGGAGAGGTTTCNTCTATAAAGATGTTAAGTCAACATATTTATTGACTTAACATCCATTTATAGAAGAATAAATTTAAATTGGAGGGAAAAAAATACTTGACATAAAACAAAAATCACTTAAATTAGTTTTAAACACTTAAATTTTTATCAAATAAACACATTTTTATATAATATTAAGATCTCATAATACACATGAAATGCTAATGAGTACATACTTACATGGCTACATCCATCCCCCTGTGGAGTGTCGAGCAGGCTCATACATTGGTGTAGGCTCTGGGTAGCTACTTAGAGAAACT